AAATGGTTTTGTCTCAACTCTCCAAAATGAATAATGGCCTGGACAGGAAGGGGGTGTAACATGTAAGCAGGGCCGCCATCAAGGGGGGACAGCTCATTTAGATGTAGGGGGCCCGGGCATCCTGAGGGGCCTGGGCCCCAAATTGGCACCTCCCCTTTGTTAAAACAAAAACACTGATAAACAACTAGTCCCGACTCACTCCACTGGCTCCTGAGTCCCTGCCTCCCATTGGTTTTTAAGACCGCCCGGCATCCTAGCAACCAATCACGTGCATTCACAGCCCCCGACAGGAGATGATGTAACTTTCTCCTCCCTGCTCCACCTCATTCTAGTGCTTTACCTCCCTGCTTCTTCCTTTTGCCCTGCTGCTGAGAAAGGAACTGGGACTCTAGTGAGGGGGACTGTCGGAGCACTGACCTAATGCAGGAGAGCGGGGAGCCTTTGATGCCTGGTGGAGAGGAGAGACAGGCACTGCTGAAGTGGGAACATCTGTGAGAGATGTCTCTTTGCTATATGGGGATGTCTCTTTGCTGGATCGGGCTATTATTTGGCTGAATATATGGGGATGTCTCTGCTGGATTGGACTGTATCATTGCTGGATTGGGAAATCTCTTTATTGATTATACAGGATGTTTCTGCTGGATTGGGCTGTCTCTTTGCTATATAGGGCTGTCTCTTTGCTATATAGGGATGTCTCTTTGCTGGATATATAGGGCTGTCTCTTTGCTAAGAATATGGAGATGTCTTTTTTTTGGATTGGGAAGTCTCTTTGAGTATATGGGGATGTCTCTTTGCTGATTAGGGGTGTAGCTTTGAATATATGGGCGTGTCTTTCTGCTAGATTGGGCTGTCTCTTTGATGGATTGGGCTGTCTCTTTTCTGAATATATGGGGATGTCCCATTGCTGAATATATAGGGAGGTATCTCTGCTGGATTGGACCATCTCTTTGCTGAATATATGGGGATGTCTTTGCTGAATATATGGGGAGGTCTCTCTCTGCTAGATTGGGCCATTGCTTTGCTGAAGATATGAAGAGGTCTCTGCTAGATTGGGCCATCTCTTTGCTGAATATATGGGGAGATCTCTTTGCTGGATTGGGCCATCTCTTTGATAGCTGGATTGTAAATACACCAGCTATTCCAGAAAAGCTGTTCTTTCCCTTGTAAATAACTGCAGTGTATATGCATTCTCTACAGCAACACTAAACACTGAATAAAGTAGGAATTTTATTTTACATCTATATATATATATATAAATATATATATATATATATATATAGCCAGTTTCTGTCTATGGTTTACATAAAGGATATCAATTTGTAAGACTATCACCAAAAGTAAGTCGTTTTCTTGTTTATACTGTATTTGTATAACTTTGTTATTCTAAGAAATAACCGCTATTGCTGTATAAACAGACACATAGAAGAAATGTAAAAACGGCTCTGGTCCAGAGGGAGTTTACAGATGTAAGAGCTGAATTGGTTAAATACACTAGGATTAGCCCGATGTTGCTCCATGGCTTACGAATCTGGGACTCGGTACGTTATTCCAGTGGCCTGATGTCTCCCTTTCTGCCTTTGCTTCCAATTGTTAACAACCCTCTTTTCCCACCGGGTTTAGATCACCCAAGGGCGTTCTCTTGGTGGGTGGCTCATGGGTTTTCGCAGGTACGACACTTTTTGGTTTCTCGGTCCTTCCCTACCTGGGATCTTCTTCGGGAGTCCCGGGATGTTCCCCCGGCGGAATTTTTTCGATACCTTCAATTGCGGCACTGGCTACTCTCGCTGCGGGGCACTTCTTCTTTTCCATACCAGAAATCGGCCTTTGAACAGCTTTGTCAGCAGCGCCCGGGTGCCCCGGGCCTTATCTCCCTTCTTTATGCAGCCTTGAACAGACGCCCGTCGCATACTTCTCTTTCATATGTTGTTCAGTGGGAGCGTGACCTGGGGGTGGATGTGGATCCGGAGGACTGGAATAGGGCCTGGTCACTCATAGCTAAATGCTCATTCAATACCACCACGCTGGAGGCAGCCTATAAGGTATTGTTTCGTTGGTATTGGGTTCCGGCTCGTTTGGCCCAGGCTAATCCCGCTTGTAGTGATCGATGTTTCCGGGGTTGTGGCCATCGTGGCGATGTCTTGCATATCTGGTGGTCATGCCCGAGACTGGTCCGTTTTTGGTCTCGTGTATTTGGCCTCCTTTTCACGTTGTTTCATCTATCCATACGCCGGGATGCTCGGTATGCCTTGCTTCATTGCCCCATACCGGGGTCTCTTTGCTCATCAGCAGAAGCTGGCGTCCTATTTGTTTCTGTCGGCCACCAGAACAATTGCTCAGGCCTGGAAGAGTCCGTTTGTCCCTTTTCAGGGGTGCGGGATCGTATGACCAATATGATGCTTAATGAGCAGATGTCGAGCATATGCAACGACTCCCAATGTAAATTCTCGAAAATATGGGAACCATGGTTGCAATATGCCTTTCCCACGCTTCCTTTGGCTAGTATGGGGATGTACTGACGTTAGGCACTGGCGTTTGATGGTGGCGCTCCTGGATCTCTGCCCCTCTTCTCTTTTTTTTCTTTTCTCTCTCTCTTATTTCTCTTCTCTTTCTTTCTTTCCATTTCTGTTAGTTTTTTTGGGTGATAGTTGACAGTTGCCTTTAATTGCAGTTAGAATTTCATTACCGTCATTGTAACCTATGTGCCATTGATAGCCCCTGCGTGGGCGTACCTTCTGCCTTGTTGAAGTTAGAGCACTGTTTTTCTTTTATTATTATGTTTTTTATCTTATCGGTGCAATTGATAGCCCCTGTGGGGGCATGTTTTGTCGCCTCTGTTTTATACTGCTTAAAACTAATAAAAACTATTGAAATACAAATACACTAGGATTCAATGTTAATTACAAAAGAAAACTTTATATGGAAAGCAAAACTTCCCGCTACAGAATTTAACACATTGTCATTCATCTTTGGTTGCTATTTGTTGTGTATTAGAAATTCAGTAAATCATAGTTTATCTTTAGCAATTTCCTGCAAACGGTATTGTTTCTACACACCAAAAAAATGCCCTTGGGTTCTGTCAGGCACAGGACATGGACATTCTGTAATTGAAATGCCATTCTGTAATCACACAGTACTGGAAGCCTTTCATCCATATCATGACTTTTTTTTTTTCAACAGTATGCATTGTCGTGTTTTAGTTGCCAGTCTGGGATGTTTTTTTTCTGATCTTTGCTTGTTTGGCTTTTACTGACAGAACAGTGTGTGGCTGTAATAAAAACAACTGCTTCTGCTGCAGATGCATTGGCACTCATTGCCAGTTCTCTAACAAATTCGGCAAGATTGATATTACAAATGCCCAATGATATTAATTGGTCAGATTTGATGACAGACTAAACCGATAACTGGAGGAAGGCTTAAAAAATGTGAACATTTAAAGAACTTTTAAAGCTGGTCTATCAAGTATAAGACATATTTTGTAAATATAACCATTTACTTACCTTTCTTGGCCTTACTCTCCTTTTTTATTTAACTGTGCTTTGACCACACAAGCTCATGACAGCAAAATTGGATTCTTTACATTTGGCCCATCTGCAGTGATCAACAGTACAATGAGGATAGCCTCATGTCTTCAGTGCAGAAATCTGCTCCACACAGATACTTGTTTGATTTGGTGGAATAAAAAGCATCTGAGACAAGTTCTAACTCAACTCAACACTTTATATTATTTCCTCCCAGTGTGTTTGCTACCTGGAACCATAGTTGCCAAGTCTACCCCCCAGGACACTGTCCTCTTGTCAGCAGGGTGCTAAGTGATAGTATGTTCTGTATTACAGTTCTTGGCACTGCATTTGGAACTGTTGGGCAGTGAATGATCTCCTGCTTGACAGTCACAATATAGCCCCAGCACAGACAGAGCAGTGTTGTGGAGCACTTTGGTAAGTCCACTGAACTCCAATGCTTATTCTTCCTCTCGTGGGCATCAGTAATGTTTGGCTAATTTTGTTCCCACTGCAATCCACCATGTGCTGTTACACTGCTCCTATTGTTGCCAAGGATTTGGGATTTTGCTGCCACAAACACCATTGACTTTGTAATTTTGTTTCCATTGATACCAACAATTTGAAGTTAAAAGATAAGTTCACCCTTTGAAACGTTACATGTTCCACTTTTATTTAGGGTGGAACACGTAACATATTCCAGCTCCTGCTGCCTCTGCACGCCTTGATGAAGTTCATTTTACTCCCACTCTCTCCTACTGACACCAATGATATGTGACTTATTTTACTCCCATTGACGCAAACAATATGGGGCTGATCTTACTCGAATGACACCAACAATGTGGATTTCACTTTATCCTACTATGTTATCCTAGTTGCACCAATAATGGAACCTCTTTTATCCCAATGATGCCAACCATGGGAACCTATTGACTCAAGCAATCCTTTTTTTTTTTTTTTTTTTTTCTCCCACTGACACCAACAAAGGAGTTTAATTTATTCTACTGTCTCCTTAATCTCTGTTTCCTAATACATAGAAAATGATAGGGGTGCAAGAGTAACAGCACTACATTGTGAAGCCATGCCCACTTCAATGGCAAAGCCCCCTTTTTTGGCAATACCTCCATGTGCCTGGCATTTTCCTTCTCAAATATTTTAAAGTGTCCCTCCCATTTATTGCCAATCGTTGTCAACTATGCCAGAAACCCAAAGCAATTTTTATATTCCAGTGCAAAGAAGAAAGTAAAATTATTGAATAAAAGATTTGGCCAAACCCTGCCTATTCCCTGTAATTCCTTCCAGCCATTTGTATAAAACTGAATGCAAACCTAGCAGATGCCCTGATTACGCTCTTAATTCTGCACATGGTCTGCTTTTCAGCATATTGTTGATCTTTGTTGATAGTTTAAATGTTTGCACTGCACTAGGCATTGAGTAACTCCTTGTTACTGGAATCTGATTGGAAATTGACGTTTATAATATTTCTGATTTTTAATTTCCCAGATTACCTTTGCCTCCTGGGGCTTTTTCCACACTTTGGGAAAATGAAGAAATGTTTAGAAATCTCTACTTCACAAAATTTCCAGTAAGTGTAACTTGCCAAGGGTAATAGTAACATTTCTACCATGGATTAACAATTTCTTTTTTGGCAGCATAACATCCCTTAAAGTGAACCTGTGATTTTGTCATACAGGACAAAGCAACAAGTACACTTTAATGTTGGCCCCACCAGCCACACAAACCTTTTCTTCTTGCCCTCCCTGATCCAAAGACAGAGCATGTGACTTCATCCCATTCCTCCCATGTAACAGCCATGGTGACTGGTTGATCAGGTGTCCAGCTCTGTCACATGGAGTTGAGAGAGTAAAGGATCAAAATAATAAAAGCTGCTGCTTTAAAACTGAACTCTTGGCTAACGTCTACATTTACAGTTAAAAATACATGGTAGGTCAGAGCCGTCTCACCTACCAAGGAATATGTATTTCTGTCTATTCAATCCTTAGATTTACACAACACTATCACACATCCAGCCTGGTGACCAGTCTTTTCTTTGCTACAGTTAAGCAAGACAGCTAACTCGCCCTCCTCTTCCCCAAGCTCCTTATGTAATTGGACAGTTAAGAAGCAACAATAAATCAGGTAATCAACTGTTTTCTCCTCCTGTTAGCATGTTCCTTGTCAAAATGCATGTTAATGCAGGGTACCTAATTGGCCCTCATGTACTGCCCCAGGAGGCTAAATTCAGTTCAAATTCAGTTATTTGTACTAGTTTCATTTAAAATACAAGAACACATTTTAAATACCTAACCATATTCATTTTTTTTCATTTTGTTTTAAGTAGCTGACTGGAGGTCTGACATTAAGAAATCACAAAAAAAAAGCTTATAAAAAGTCAGGGACTGCAAAACCCTTCTTTAACCTATTGAAACCCATTGTTTGCATGAGGTTCATGTTAGGGAAATGTTTCTAATAGCGTTTAAAGTATAGGGGAAAAAGGTGGTTTTAATTGTAGTGAAAAGTCAATTTAAAAAAATATTTTTTAAAAGCAGTGAAAAAGTAATACACATCAAGCTACATAGGCTTTTTTTAAAGACTGAAGAAGAACTGGATTTGCCAGGCATGATTGGTCCCTGGTCAATGCAGTTGGAATGAAATGGACAAGTGAGAGAGAGAGCAGCAGGTGAAAAACTCATGAAGTAGGCATATTTATTATTCGTGTACACATAACATACACATATACCCTAGGGTGAATGTAAAATGGTTGAATAATAGCTTTACTTGTATTATTTGTTTAAAAGGGGTATTATGACACAATGGATGCAGGATATATGGATGACGATGGCTATGTATATGTCATGTCCCGGGTCGATGATGTCATAAATGTAGCAGGTCATAGGCTCTCTGCGGGAGCAATAGAAGAGGTAACGTAAACGTAGCATTGAATGTACTGTATATGTTAAAATGATGTTTTTTATGCAGGTTTTTTTGTAGAAATTCTGCAATTTTTTTTTGTTATGAATGTTGGTGCCAAATTGCCATTAGCCTCTAAAGCCCTTCTCTATTTCTTAATGGCCATTCCTTTTTTTTTTGTCTTTTTTTCTTTTTTGAGGAGATAAACATTTAAGTGAGATGGCAACCTACTGAAGTAGTTCACTTCTTTTTACTTATTAATGGAATATACAGGTATTGTTTGGTGGAACAAAATGCCACTGATAGCATGTCACTCCATATTCTGTGGAGTATAACATGTAGTGTCTCATGCAACTCACTGTTCTTCATACCTGTGGTGTACACTTTGCCACATTCAACTTTTGCACTCAGTGATTTAAATCTCTGCATTACTTGAAGTAATTTCAGTTCTTCATGCTGTACCTATATTACATTCAGTATCTCATCTAGTTTTGCTGCCCCTGCACACTACATGTAGTGCTTCATGCCTCAATTACACTAGGGGCTTTACACCTCTGTATTATCCATAGTGACTTGTAGCCTTTGAAAAAAGTGCCTCGTATTCCCCTGTTAAATGACTCATCCAACTAGCCCCCACACAGTACTCCATATTTCTGTATTATACACAAATGTTGATTTACTAAAACTGTAGAGAGCAAAATCTGGTGCACCTCTGCATAGTGGGCAATCAGTTGCTAACTTCAGTTTGTTCAATTAAACTTTGACAAAAATCCTGGAAGCTGATTGGTTTCTATGCAGAGCTACACCAGATTTTGCACTTTCCAGTTTTAGTAATTCAGCCCCCCCAGTGTCTAATGACTATGTTTTATATATACAGTATATAGTTACTTAGCACTTGCATACGGTGCCTTACATGCAGTGCCTTTTACCTCTTATTTGCTTTGTGTCATCCAGATATTGATTTATATTTCTGTATTACAGTCCCTTATGCTCTTTCATTACATGCAATTTTTATTGCCTGTTGCATGCAATCCTTAATATCTCTCTGCTACACACAGCACTTTAACCAGCCCCTACAATGTTTCATATCACTGACACAGGACTTTTTGTTATACATGGTTCATTAAGTCCCTTTGCTGTACCTTATGACTGCCTCCTGAACAGGGCTTCTGGGAGAAGTGCCTACAGGCTTTGAGAACAACACAAATGCCACACCATCCAACACACATGTAGTGCTACTCTCGTAAGGACGCTTGTATTTTTGCCATGGTTTCCACTTACTTCGCCCTGCAGCCAAAGTCCTTTGTAGTAGCAACAGTTGGACAAGCTTTTCAGAACACTAGCCAGTGTTCCCTTTTCTTTTCAGACCTATACTGACTATCAAGCACCAGAGGGGTAGCCAAGCACACAGAGTCCCCAAGATCTCTCAGTGTCTGTACTCGCAAGCCAAAGGACAGAATGGCTGCCTTCTTCCAAGCGATTATCTCCAGTGATACCAGACAGAGTTTTGACAGACAGCTCCCCTCAGCATACTGTAGAACCAGGGTCACTCTCTCTAACTTCAGGCCCTCAGGTCAACCCAACTGAGCATGCATGACAACATGTGCCAGGTGAGGCAGCCTGCCTCCAGCCTGGCTGTTCAATCTTCTCCCAGGAAAGATGCTGAACCCATGTGCTCACAGAACATAAATAACACTCCCAGCATGCAATGGGACTGCCCTCCTTGCAATTGCCCAGGGCTGTATCCATATTCATGCTGTTCATTTGCCTAGCATCTACCCATGTTCTGGAAGGCTCTCATAGCTTCCTGAAGGTGGGCAGAACTCAGACAAATTCAACGGCAACCGACAATCATGAGCAGACCTGACTAAACAATCACAGCACTCTGTTAAGCAGAATACCACACTGAATTTACCTGACAGCCTCTCTGGTAAGCAGAGAAACATAACTATACTTAACCTAACTATACAAATATTAGCACCTGACTAGGAGGGTGCTACACACATATTAATGTGTAGCCTACATTTAGGTTTGGTGGACAAGTGCATCATACAAGCAAAAAAAAATAGAATCTATAACATCCTGAAGGACACCTTTTAATATAGTGATGATCAGCTGTGGTACTTTAATTTTTAAGAGGATTTCCAAGGTCTTCATGTGAGTGGAAGGGTGACTGCACACTTTAGGAACCACAACATATCCCTTCCCTTGTCTTTGTCATGGTAGGAGGGATGGTTGCCTGTTGAGGGTAACTTCCTCATATGGTCTCTCATCCCTCACTACTATACATTGTGCCTCTTGTGTCTTACAAGCAGTGCCTTATGTCTTACATGCAGTGCTGCATACCTCTGTTAGGAACACAACACCTTCTGACTGTGGGATCCTCTATTCACAGCACAAACATCCCTATGCTTTCTTTCATGCGAGGATTTGGATGGCTGTGTTGTCTATACCACCAGTACCTTCTCTTCTTATTGAATTAATGAGAGTAGGAAGAGTGGCTTAGCTCTGGGGGAGCTACCACCACCATCTTCTGTTCTTTGCTTTTTACTAATAGGAAGAGGATAGATAGGTAAGCTATATGTTTTAAAACCACCACGTTCTATATTGTCTGTGCTGTGGGATCAATTAGCCCCCTTGTTTGAGAGGAATCATAGCTTTATGGATGTGAAAACCAGGCTCACCTTTCCATTACGAGAGCAGTAGAAATGGCTGTATGCTGCTGTAACTACCATCAATCTTTTCATTCTTTCCTTGTGGGAGCGCACTGTAGGAACCACCACTTTTTCTAACATATGCTTTGCCCTACCTTATGTCTCCATACTACATCTCTTCTCTCTAATGACACCCAAACGTAGGGTGCAAATGCAGTGTTTTTTCCTGCACCGGATAGCAAGGTACAGAAGTACCATGCAATCTGGTTGCTCTGCATTTTGTGAAGTAGTGCTTGCGTTACTTTTCCTGCAGTCCAGTGCAATTTCAGCCCATTCAAATGAATGGGCTGAAATTGCCTTACACCCGCATGTGAACTTCTGTGCGCTTCATGGTGTGAACCGGTCCTAAAATAAGACTAGCCAGAAGAAACTGTAATGTACCTGTTAAAGCAAGTTTTGCATCTTTGTTGTACATGGCTGATTGTCTAAATTCCTGAAAGTATACCAGAGGGAGATTAAAAACAGACCCTCTCTGCTGTTTCAAAGGATGTGAAACATCCACTATGCTCCTATAGCTAGAGATCATGTGAGTTTTTCCCATGATTTAGAGCAGCATATTTATATTCATGATAAGCAGGGCAGCTATCAGAATTTTTGGAGCCCCTTACACAGCTTTAGGCCTGGCCCTCCTGGGTCTGACCACCAACATTACCCAAGGCCCGCCCACTGGCTGTCCCACCAACTCCTTCAGTGCACCCACTTCTATTTTAACATTATTACAACTTACTATATGCAAATGAAAAGTGTATTTCAAGCCAGTGCTTTCAAGATTTAACAGAAAGGAATAATATTTTAAGAGCAGCAAATAGACAGCCCCATATAGTCAGCAAAGAGGCATCCCTATATATTCAGCAAAGAGATGGCCCAAATCCAGCAAAGCGATAGCTCCATATATTCAGCAAAGAGACATCCCCATATATTCAGCAAAAAGATGGCCAAATCCAGTAAAGAGGCATACCCATATATTCAGCAAGAGACAGCCCAATCCAGCTAAGAGACAACCCCATATATCTAGCAAAGAGACAGCCCAATTCAGCAAAGAAACATCCCCATATATTCAGCAAAGAGATAACCCAATCCAGCAAAGAGATATTCCCATATATTAAACAGAGACTGTCCAATCCAGCAAAGAGACATCCCCATATATTTAGCAACAAGACTCTTCCCTTCTAGCACAAATCCTCTCTGTTTCCAAATTGCCCCCCACACATATCTTTTCCCCCTGGCCAGATCACCCCTCCCAATATTTGTTACCTGCCCCCTCCCAAGGCCACTGTGACCCCCCAGTATAATTCTTCCCAGAATGTACTCCTTCCCAATATAATCCCCCCAGTGTAAATCCCCACAGTGTACTCTTCACAGTGTACTCCCTCTAGTGTAAATCCTCCCAGTGTAAACCACCCAGCGTAATCCCACAAGTGTAATCCTCCTAGTGTAAATTCCCCCCCCCATGTAAATTCCCACATAGTGTAATCCTCTAATGTGCATTCCGCCAGAGTAATCCCCCCTGTGTAAATCCTCCCCAGTATTCTTCCAGCTGTGTAATCCCTCAGTATAAATCTCTCCCCCTCCCCTGTAATGCCCCCCAGTGTAGTTCTCCCCCCTGTGTAAATCCCCTCACTGTAATCCTCACACTGTAATCGCCACGGTGTATTCCCCCAAGTGTTGATGCCCTCAGTGTAATCCCAGAAGTAAAATCCTCCTAGTGTAACATTATAATCCCCCCATGTGTAATCCGCTAGTGTAAATCCCCCCATGTAAATTCCCCCATTATACTCCCAGCAGTGTAATCCTCCCAGTGTAAATCCCCCCATAACTTCCCCCAGTGTAATCACCCACAGTGTACTCACTCCTGCAGTGGGAGGTGAATTAGTGGAGCCAAGTGGCAACACTGGACTCCAGCATGGATCTGTGGGATTCTGGGCATGGGGCTCCTACTGGCCCCTGGACAGTGGTTATGTGGTCAGTCCACTCCAAGCCTCTAGCTTGTCCTGATCCCCCCCTCCCTGGTATAATTTCATTATCCAATGACTGACCTCATTAAACCCATTATCATCACTTTAGGTGGGTAGATTGGTTGGTGGGTAGAGATGGGTGGATGTACTCACTGGCTTTGCTTTCCTTGGATCTCTGAAGTAGGTTCTGCACCATGCCACAGTCCTCAGCCTTGACAGCCTGAAGCAGCTCCTGGTCCTTTCCCGACCTCAGTTTTTCACGCCGAGGGGCAGGACAATCCTATGCACTGGAGAGGAAAGGCAGATCCTGGTGGAGCTCCATTTGTCCTCCCATCCCCAGTGTCCTTCCCTGGAGAGGATGAGGAGGATGGGGACATCAGGTCAGATGTGCTGCTGGGGGGAGAGGCGGATAACTCACCACCAGCTGAGAGCAGCCAAGAATACCTGGGGGAGATCACCATCCACGGGAGCTGAGCCAAGCTGGGTGTGAGGGGAGAGAGTCAGAAGCCGTGGGGTGAACCTGGGGGAGGAACGCTTGGTGAGTGGAGTGAGATTACACTGATCAGTCCACCCATGCATTAAAGCTGTCCCCCCTGATGGTGGCCCTGGTGACAAGGGAGAAGTAGTTTTACCATTTTTTTGCTTAATTTGTGGTAAATCATATAACATATGTAAAGTGTGAATTTTAGTGATGTGTCCAGTTTATTTGTTTCTCTTTTAACATTGCAGTCTGTGTTAATGCACAAATCTGTGGCAGACTGTGCCGTGGTAGGCTTGGAGGATACCTTGAAAGGACATGTTCCACTGGCACTTTGTGTGCTGCAAAATGGTAAGGACTCCTTTGTTGTGATTGAGCCTTGCGTATCATGTGTGTCATGCTAAAATTTAATTTAAAAAATATACATACACTGAATAGTGTATATGGGGAAAGATATTTATGGAATACTTGCACCAATAAATGTTCAAAGATCTTCTGTGTATTATTTGTATTGTATGACAAGTAGTGCATAGGCATAGGACTGTGAACATGTTATAAAATGGCTCAGCCATCAGGAATCAACTTTTCTTGCTCTAGACCAAAATGTGAAGTCTGTTATTTTGTTCTCTTAGTACAAATAAGCTATACAATTGCCATTCCCTATTTGTTGTAGGAGTGGACACTACAGAAGAGAGACTGGCAGATGAAATAGTGTTACAAGTCCGAGAACATATTGGGCCTGTAGCAGCTTTCAGGAAAGTGATTGTTGTAAAGCAGCTACCTAAAACACGTTCTGGCAAGATCCCTCGCGCCACATTGGCTTCGCTTGTAAATGGCAAACCATACAAGGTAAACAGTTGGGAAATTTGTGCAATTAATTATGTAATTGTTAAGTAAAATATTTAGTGAATAGCAGTCTATTGATGAATGTTTTTGTGTGTAAACCACGCTGACATATGGAAGTCTTGATGTGATTAAATACCAAATGGTTTACAAATGCAGAAATGTAACACTTTTGGCAATAGTGCTATCAGTTTAAGCGATATTAAACCCCAAACTAGAAATGTATTAGATTGCAGCTTACCAGTCATTAGGTGTGGTGCACTTGTTTTCTCTTTTTTAGGCTTTTCCCCCTTTGTTTGTTAACTGATGATCTGACCAGTACCCCATCTCCTGTATTAGAGTGACAACACTCTGGATGAAGGAGCACAGAGGCACCTTTGAACAGAAGTACTGTCAGTCTGGAGGGAGCAAGGGAGGGAGTGTCTGATGTACTAGCAGATTTAGATACACTAACACATTTAAGCCAAATTCATCTCACACTGTAGTTACATAATCTGTTTTTGTTTCTTTTGGGAAAGAGGTTTTTACATGAATAAATACATTTGATCATAGTAAGCACCCCTGTCAGTGGTAAATAGTCTGTCTCAACACTCTTAACAAATAAAGGTGAACTTTTTCTGTTGAAAAACAACATACTTACTGGCAGTATCATCAGATAAAAATAAAGGAAATATAGCCTAAAAAAACCCAAAAAACTAACAAATGCAGCTAATCACATCTAAGAATTGGTAAGTAGCAATATAATGTTTGCTTTTGGGTTTAATACCACTTCAATTGATTGTGCACCACTAGTTCACCATGGGAAAAAAATCAGCTACACTGACTTCTCTGTGAAGACTGAAGCAAACCTTTACCACTTAAGTGGTTGTAAAGGCTCAGGGTTTTTACTTTCATGCATTCTATGCATGAAGGTAAAAAACCTTCTGTGTGTAGCCGGCCCCCTAGCACCCCTAATACTTACCCAAGCCCCCTCTTGATCCAGCGATGTGCACTGGAGTCTGGGAAATCCTGGGACTCTCCCTCCTCATTGGCTGAGACAGCAGCGTGGAGACATTGACTCCCGCTGCTATCAATCACAGCTAGTGATCCAATGAGAAGAGAGAGGGAGAAGGGCCAAGCTGCTGCTCTGTGTGTGAATGGACACACAGAGCAGTGGGTGCCTCCATAGCAAGCTGCTTGCTGTGGGGGCACCCGACAGGAGGGAGGGGCCAGGAGAGCCGGCAGGGGACCAGAGAAGAGGAGGATCTGGGCTTCTATGTGCAAAACCACTGCATAGAGCAGGTAAGTATGATGTGTTCATTTAAAAAAATTAAGCCTTTATGATCACTTCAAGCTACTTCTAGTAGTGGTATATGCAATGAAATACATGTTATTGAAGTGTATCCTGGACTTATTACTTCAGCCATCCTCAATCTCTATTGATGCATATTTTCATATTGAATCTTTACTTTCAATTGGCTAGTGATGATGTCTTTCAGTTAAAACATTATTATAGACCTTATTGCATAGATAATATGGTGTTGAATCTTAGGAAGAGAGAAATAATATCCTGGGTGCTAGCTAAACATACATTTTATGTTCAAATAGTTTTTATTGAAGAAATTTTCAACAATTTATCACAACGTGTTACACGTATATAGAACGAACAATGTTTACAATAAAATGTATAATCAAAAAAAAAACAAGCAAATATTAGATAAAACAAATTCCCACTATTTAGCTGGGAATGATGTAGCAGGGCCTCGGATACTTGAGAGGTATGCTCAGAAGATTGTGAACTTAGTGTGGGTGAGTATGTGATAAACCGTAGAGGGGAGAAGGGTTAGAAGGGAGGAGAGGAGGGGGGGGGGGCACCAGTCAAATATGTTGACTACAGTATGGTGGTATATTATTATAGTTATCACTTAATAGAGCAATTAGGGTCTTGAAGCCACCGAGACCATTGAAAGCAGAATTTGTGGTATGAAAAATTTTGGATTGCTGTTCTCTTTTCCATCTCACAATGGAGATTAAGCTCTATAATGAGGGTTGAGATCGAAGGGGATGTGGTGGATTTCCATAATTTAGTGATATTAGTTTTTGCTATTGCTAGTATATGAATTATGATAGTACGAGAGTCCACAGGGAAATTTTCTATTCCTATATGAAGGAGAGCTGTAATTGGGCTTGGAGTCGTTGGAACTTTCGATATGGTGGAGATCAGTTGAAATATTTTGTTCCTGTACGATGTGAGAGATTTACATGACCAAAGTATATGGAGGATCGTTCCTATTTCTCCGCAGTGTCTCCAGCACTTGGGCGAATGTTGTGTGTAATAAAGATTGAGCTTAACAGGCGTTAGATACCACTGATGTAAGATTTTCATGTATGCTTCCCAATGGGAATTACATTTGGATGCCTTGTATGTGGTATTGAAGGTTTTCGACCAAGTGTACGGAGAGACTGGTTGGCGGAATATTTTTTCCCAGTTAGTCAGGGAAGTAGTATGTATATCAAACTGAGTGTGATTTATAATTGAGTAGAAGGTTGAAATTCCCTTTTTGGGGTAATGTGATCTCTGAAAGAAGAGGTGTGCCCTGGAGGGAATTATTAGTTCTATAGATATATCTATTGTATGTAAGGCATGGGCAATTCTCATGTATGTGAATTTTTCATTGTCAGGGAGGTAAAACTTTGTTTGGAGATTAGCAAAGGATTTTAGTTTATGATCTGTATATAAGTCTCGAATACGGGTTATACCTTGATTTTCCCATTGCGTGAGGTTTAGTGAGGGAATGATGAGGTGCAATGTAGAAATTGGAGTAGGAATTTTTGTTGTGTCATTGTCTGGGTAATGAGAGGATAAGAGGTCAGACCAGGCTTGTAAAGAGGTTTTTATACATGGATGTTTAGAGAATGGAAGAATTTGGCTATTTCGAGGAAGGAATAATAGGTTATCAGGAGTATGTGGGAGATGTGATGGAATTTCTAAGAGGGTCCACAATTTATCTTTTGTAGGATGCCACCAAAAGAAGAGCTGGTCTAGGAGCACAGCGTTGTAGTAAGATTTTAAATGGGGATGGCCTGCTCCCCCTCTAGAGGGAGGTCTTATTAGTAGATTTGTTGTGCATCTAGGCTTTTTGTTGTTCCACACAAATTTATTTAGTATCGCTTGGCGTTTAGAAAAAAAGGTATTAGGAACTGGAATAGGGAGAGTACGGAAAATGTAAAGTATTTTAGGTAATATGCACATTTTTAAAGATGCTATTCTACCCATTGTCGATAATGTGGGTGTATGTAGTTGTTTGAGCTCTCGTGGAATGGAGTTAAGTAGAAGTTTATAATTAGCTTCATTTAATTGGTTAGTTGAGGGCGTAAGCTTTATTCCCAGGTATGGAATGCTGTGTAATTCCCATGTGAAAGGGAAATGCTTGCTCAGCATATTTTGGGTCTTAGGAGGGGTGTATAAGTTTAGGATGGAGGATTTTGGCTCATTGAGCTTGTAGTAGGAGACTTCTGAGTAGTTGTGGAGATGCATGCGTATCGATTGAAGAGATTTGTAGGGATTAGTGACCATTAGGATGATATCATCAGCAAAAAGGCTAATTTTGTGATCCATTTTGGAATGCATAATACCTGTGAATGTTGGGTCATCCCTAAGTCTAGAGGCCAAGGGTTCAATTAATAGAGTGAAGATTATGGGAGAGAGGGGGCAGCCTTGTCTAGTGCCATTAGAAATTTGGAAGGGTTTGGAGAGTGTACCATTAGTTAGAACTGTAGCAGAGGGTTTGGAGTAGAGGGCGAGTATTGCCGATAACATCCAATCTGTAAGACCAAATTTTTGGAGTGTGAGTTTCATAAAAAGCCAATGGATTCGATCAAATGCTTTTTCAGCGTCTAAAGATCGTAATAATGAGGGCTGTTTGGTGGTTTCAAGCTTGTGGATGAGGGATATTATTCTTCTAGTAGCATCCGGTGCTTGTCTACCGGGGACAAAACCTACCTGGTCAGGATGGATTAGCGTGGGAAGGTAAGGGAGTAATCTTTGGGCAATTATTTTGGCATATATCTTTATGTCTGTGTTTAATAGAGAGATCGGTCTATAGTTTTGTACCAGTTGGGGATCTTTGTTTAGTTTGGGAATGGTTGTAATTACTGACTGTAACATTTCCGAGGGGAAAATCCCCGTAGAGGCAACATGATTAAATAATTCAGATAAATGCGTTGTAAGGTTGGATGCCATTATTTTAAAGTATTCGTTGGTAAAACCGTCATTTCCTGGGGATTTGTTTAGGGGTAGTGTTTTTATGCTACGGTCAATTTCTGCAGGGCAGATGGGTATCGATAGCGAAGTAAGTTGGGATGCTGAGAGACGGGGTAAGTTGGTATTGTCTAGGAAATTTTGAATGGTAGTGGTGGTGGGTTGGGTCGTATCAATATCATCTTTAAGGTTGTATAGTGTGTGGTAATACGTCGCGAAAGCGTCGGATATGTCTCGAGGGTTTGTAAGTAGTGCGTGAGTAGTGGGATGTTTAATCGTGGCTATCTTAGTTTTAAGTCGCTTTTGTTTAATCATTTTTGATAGGAGTGCATTTGCTTTATTACCAAGCGCGTAGAATTTGGATTTAGCTCTCTGTAGGTTAAGGTCGTATTCGTGTAACAAAAGCGTTCGTAATTTGTTTCTGTCAGAGGCCAAGGACGCGGCTATGGTGGCATTTGGGTCGGTTTTGTTAATTTCCTCGTTACGTTTAATGGAGGAAAGAATTTGATCTATTTGATGGGATCTTTGTTTTTTAATGCGGGAGTTTAATTGTATGAGGATACCTCTCATGTAAGCCTTATAGGTGGGCCAGAGCGTGGGTATAGGCATGTTCGGAGTTGCATTAGTCTCAAAAAATAGATTATGAGCTTCTAAAATATGTTTCTGGTGTTCAGGGTTCTTCAGGATTGCAGAATTTAGTCTCCAAATTGGCGGGATTGCTGAGCGTTGGTTTTCGTCCACTGAGATGTGGATAGGAGCATGGTCTGACCATGTAATTGTGCCAATTGTAGCTGATAATATATGTTGCAGTGTC